CCCTACATTCAGTTCATTGCAAATTATTTTTACCGATTCTCCTTTATCTAGGCGTTCAATTGCATTGAGCTTTTGTTCAATTGTCACAACTTTACGCCTACGTTTGTCACTCATTCTCTTAAAGAAAACGCACTAAATATATGGATACAGTAATCACATTAACCCTAGCACTGGCAAACGCTGGATATACGGCGCGAACGGCCGCAGCCGAAATGGCAACGCCTGATATACGGCGCCAATGCAGGTGAACAGTAGGCCTAAATATATTTTTTTTTTTTTTTTTTTAGGTTTGTTCACATTTAGGGCTACTGTTGTAATAAATAAGTTAAATAATACAAACCAGAGTACCCTGGGATTATATATTATATAAGATGTACGGTTTTGTACATGACCTGGGTTGGATGATTATTTGGTACTAGCGCGGGGATACGATCGACATAGTAATAGGGCTATCAAACAAAATAAGCTATATAAACTATATGTTTTTGGAATCAGCACAAAATTTACACCAACTTTACAATTTACCTTATGATGATAAGTCTTACATTTACTTAGCTATACGACGGAATATAAAAACATTTTATAAAAAAATTAATAATGCCTACAATTTGAAAAAAACTAAAAATTTTTTTTTTTTTTAACCATGTAAACCACCTATATTATTGTTCTTTGTCTTATTCTGAACAAAATTATATATAACAATCCATAGTTATGTTGCTATTTCTAATTTTTATAATGGTTTAAAAATTATATTACATAATCAATAATATCCCTATGCCAGTTCAGCGTTACACTATCGCCAGCTCTAGGGTTAAAACTACTAGCCTAGGTCCAAAAAAGAAAATGCACGCAGCAGTATACTGGACAATACTGTACACGGTAATATACTGTATTGTACTTCAACGATCGGTACAAACATTCACATCAACCACAATGATTTAGTGTAGGGTACTGTACACACGGTATGAACGCGACTAGCGATACATGTTTACACCACGGGATTCACTCAAACACTAACCCAAATATTTTACTTAATTTAGGAGAGCATTGTATTTAGACACGTGATCGCTGGTCTAATATCGATCCCACGAGAACAGTTGTTTCAGTGCCGCCCACTTCCTGCCGATCTAGTCCGGTTAAACCGATGTGCTGATCAAAAATTTCCGGTTAAAGAGATGTCGTTTCCGCCGAGTGTAGTCCGGTTAAAAGGTGTCCGGATAAGAGGGAGTCTACTGTAAATAATATCATAGTTACTTGATCCCTTACCCATGATAAAGGTTGTTGACAAGCTAATGGGAGAAAGTATGTGTCAGATTGCTGATACCGTTTATTTACTCTTTTGGCATAGTTTCGAATTGAAAATTTGATTTATTCTGCTTTCATTACCAAACACATAGCTACCATCCAAGCTTAACTAACATCAAATAAATCACCAGTTTCTCTATGAAAAGTGCCATCAGCCTAAAATCTTAGTGCAACTAACATTTTTTTTCAATTTAGAATACTGTAATGGATTCTGTTTTCGGGAAATCCGTGCCTTGGAGTGAACGCCTCAAATGACTCATTGACGGCATCCTTGGGACATCTAAATCTATCTTTCAATTCATCAAATCATAAAAGGGTTTTAGTCATGATAACTAGCTGGTCGTATGCGAGGTAGTGGAGTGGTGTTACATAGTAGTCAACATAGTAGTCTATGTACCACCAATTAGTAGTCAACATAAAGAGATTTCATTGTCATATTCAATATACACAGTCAACACAAGACGGTGATATCACCGCGAACCGTACTCGGTTTGCTTGATGTTTCCCACGGCACTTAAAACTATTTCTGATAATTATGTTAGATAACGGTGGTTTAGCTGTGGTTTAATTTTACGCATAATTTTATCATTAAAACTGTAATAAAATGGGGTTTATCAGTAAACATATCTTTGTTATGATACTACTTTGTTAAGTGCATAGTTTATTTGTTGTTTTAAGTTGTTTGATGATTTTTTCATGTTTTATGCGCCTTTTTACCATTTTTACATATTTTTTTAATATGGCGTTGTGGGTAATGAAATTGTTCGGAATTTATGAGAAACCATATATAAATATTAGTTTTTTAAAAATAATAAAAATAATGGAGCTAATCAGATAAAACCGGCATGATGTCACCTTAGGGCCGGCGCGCACTATCCCGACCACGACCACGACCACGACTCCGACTGGTCGGATACGACCAGTTTTATAATAGGAATAAATGGAACAGCGCGCACTGGTCGACTGGTCGGACCCTGGTCGCACGACCAAATCCAGTTTGGTCGGGCCCGACCCGCTGGTCGTTGCAGCCAAAAATAGCACACGATGTAATGGGACGACGCGCACTACCCCCGACTTGCCTCCGACCCGACCAGTACACCACTCAACCCCCAGTATTCCTAGACTAATCAAACGGTGAGCACTAGTTTTTTGCGCCAGTCTGTGAAGTGACTCATTTGGAAAAATGTCGCAGGATTTTGACACTTTTGAAACCTGTCTTCATATTGACGTAGCTCTTCATAAAATGTTGCAAAATGCCCTTTCAGACCTAAAAGTTAACATTGGATATACCCAGTATAGTGTCTTCTTCCGCTTAACGTACTTACAATACAAATGCACCATAACAACTACTTCTTCAACAATCATCTTGACAATGAAGTTTGTAAAACATTCGTTGCCTTGGTCGGGTCGTGGTCGGGTCGTGCTCTGGTCGCATGGTGAATGACAACCACTGGTCGGGCGTTTGGTCGTGGTCGTGGTCGTGGTCGGGATAGTGCGCGCCCGGCCTTAAACCTGCCTCCTAACAGGTCTGAGTTGGAGACCAAACACCATTCTTTGGGCTCGGACTTGACTTGTGAACCCACCGGGACTAATGATCGAAAGCCGGGACTAGATTCAAGATTCAAATAGACTTTATTCAATGTTATAACATATATAAAACAGACATCTATCTGAATAGAGTCAAAATCTAGATATAAATCATATACATTAAAACATAAATCTACGCAAATATCCATTACAAAAAGTAAATGGAAATTCAAATGAAATATTTTTTTTATCAACAAATTCTTGTAATGAATAAGAAAGTTTTTGAATTATTTGAAATTTGCCTCCTACCGGATGCTTATTGGTAAATATTGTAACAATTTTAATCCTGCATAAGTGGTTTTCTTTGTATAATATTCTAATTTATGCTTAGTTCCGGACTGAGCGTGTGTAGGGAGGTCTCGGGACGGAACGTGTATGGCAGGCCTTAGTGTGCAAACGGTTGTAAAAGTGGTTGCATTTTTAGGAAGAACGGAGTCAAATGTACAACACCGTAAAGGTGTTTCTTGACAATCCACCAGAGAAATACAAACCTTATATAAGCTACAACGTGCGTACAGATGAGGAGGAAGTTAGACCTAAAATTCTGGACTCACCTCAAAAGATACAAAAAATCTGATCAGTTTTTTGTAATTGGTATTAATTACTTTGTAAATTATAATGTAGTTGGAATCCATTTTCTAGAATTAATATAAATGTTAAATATGCAATGTTCAATAATTTCTTAATAAAATAACTTTATTTAAATTACTATAAATCACTTATTATTGGATCGATTTTCATCACCAGATACTCAATGGATGCAGAATTTTATGCTCTATTTCCTTTTTGATGTGTTTTCTGTTGGCTGGTTGTTTTACGTTTTAGCAAAAACTAAAAAATAACCCTAAATTTCAAAATTTTTGTGGTCCCAGGTCAGAAACTCACCTGGTAAAATGGGACAAACTTCAAATCCTTTTACTTCTATATAAAACAAAAGGATTAAAACAGTTTCTAGCTTTCTGTGAATTATTTCCGGGCAAAAACCAATTTTGACTGGCCTATTCCTCAAAAAGTCGAGCAGTAAAATAATTTGCATAGGCTTATCTTTGGGGACTCGTGGGCAGAGCTTTGATTTGTATACAGCAATGGTTTTACACTTATCTCTGTGGTATACTCTTTCTACTAATCTTACTTATTTCCTATAATCAATGCCAAAATCATAGACTAAAAAAATAACCTCATTATAGTTCTAAAGAGTAATTTTATATCCATCCAGCTGTTAGTTCAAACAAATTATATTGCACTAAAACGAACCCAAGACTACTCTAAAAATTAAATTAGAACATCTAGTATTTTACTATTAGTCCAGTCAAGGAATGAGGTGTAGAGTGTGTGAGCAGGTAACTAAGCGATTCCTTCAGAAACTTGTTCAGGGGGCTTAGGGTGTTAACATACCAAAAGTCCTGACTCCTAGGTGTAATCTGTTTAACCAAAATAAACACATTATATACTTTTCTTGTAGAAAATTTCATCTTCTTCAATTTTATAATTTAGTATAGTAGTATACAAAAGGTTGATAGTTTTCGAGATATAATCAAAGAACCCAAAATATGTACCTTGGCTCACCACCTAGGAGTAAGGACTTTTGGTATTTTAACATCCTAAGCCCCCTGAACAAGTCTCTGAAGGAATCGTTTAGTTACCTGCTCACACACTCTACACCCACTTTTGGGTCATTCATTGACTGGACTATATGTATATTTAAATAATCTTTCATCCTCTTACCAATTATATGAAAGTGTCAATGATTATAGCATTACACATAGTATAAATAAGTCAACCCTACGTATGTTATTTCATTTTTATCCAAATGCCGAATTTATGTCACAAACGCTGAATGTTTACAGCTGTTACGTTAAGCAAATGGTATTATACCAAAAGCTAGTTTAGAATGTTAGCATCGGCTGCTGGACTTTTTAAAAATTAAAACTTCATTTCTAAAAAACTGAAACCCTAAACTAAAATTTTATGGCTTCGACATTCCCTATATCTCAAAATTATCTTTCTTACAGCACAAAAATTAAGAAAATCTGTAAAGTGGTTGATTCAGAATTGTGAAATAAAGATGATGGCAGTAGCCTACAATAACATTAGCATGAGCCATGTACCTGGATGAGGTGTTCGGCGTGGTGTGACGTCCAGATGGCTAGAGCCTAGCAGCCCAGAACTGATGTTTAAAAGGGGACCTCCTCGCACTGCTATTCCATTCTCCTGTCAATCAATGTTATGCTATACTAATCACATTCTCAGGTATATAACAATAAAATGTTAACATCAGAACACTATTATATTATTTAAAAGTGAGAATCATTACCATTATTGGTCATTTATACAATTTTCAAACGTTACACATAATAATGAGTTGTATAACGTGCAGATTTTGAGGGGGGGTAAAACTAGCCTATTAGTTGTAGCTATCCTAACCCTAGGCATAGCCTACAAGCCCTAACTAAGGTTATAGGTTGGAAAGTTAACCTTAGTTATAAGTTAAATAGTTATGATAGGTATGAAACACTGTTGAGTTTGTCAAAAAACAAGCGTAGAATGTTTATATGTTTAAAAACCACATGTTTTAAGAGTCCTTGGAGGCTAGCAGCCATCTTGGATAATTTTGAACAGCTGCTGAAGAGTTATTAACCATCTCAAAATACTTTTTCAAACACCAGAATGATTGTAATTTAAATGTCTAGTAAACTGTGAGATTAAAAATATTCTTTGTAGTTTTTTTATTGTTTTACGAGTTAGAACGTCTAGGCTCCAAGGTCTACATTTCACTTCTAAGCAATTCTTAAGACAACTTGTGAACTGCAAATCATAGAATATTTAAGTTTGATTTATAACTCACAACCTGTGCACATTTTAGACTCATTTAACTGTCATTAAAAGATAAGTACACAAAGTGATTAATGGTTAAACTAGAAAAGTAAGGCTTTGACCTGAGCAGTCTTTTCCTGTTTGAAGTTTCCCCACTCCCTCTAGCCATCAACTGACCTTTGCCACAGGCCATTGACCATTCATGCATCACAACTATAGTCTGTCCGTTTGGCTATGATACCCAGCGGGTTAGGGCCTTCTCGGAACTCAACTCACCCTCTCGACCCGTTCGTCGTGCTGGCTGGAGACAAACAGTTAATCACCCACTGTCACAGTCCCACAATTCTGTAATTTTTTTTTGTTTTAAGTTAAAATAAAGATCTGAAAGTTTTACAAAGCTGTTGACAATACAGAGTAATTGTATTGCTTTCAGCTCGTAGATATTAAGTATCCATATCGTTTCTGGACTCATTACTTTTGGAATTTCATGAAGAACTCAAATATACAAAGAACAATTTATTTTAACTTAAAATAAAAAAAGTTACATATCTGTAGGACTGTGACCGTAGGTAGGTAAACTTTTTATCAATGGCCAGCCTGGCGAGCGGGTCTGAGGGTGAGTCGAGTTCCGAGAAGGTTCCTTATCCGCTGAGTATCATAGCCAAACACACGGACCATATCAGCTGGTGTTGTTAACAAAATGAGTCTTAGACCAAAATACTGTCGTTTTATGGACTATGTTTAGGTTCATTTTAAGGCCATAAAATACAAAGGTATAATTTATAATTGAATTTATTGGTATTAAATGCAAAAAAATATTCCATTAAAAAGTTCAATGAAATTATGTGTCTTTCTGCAACAAAAGGATTTTAATAGATGAGTGAACGAAGTGAACACCGCTATGTATCGTGTATAGCGGAGTCCAAGAAAAGTTGTCCACTTGTGTGTGCGTGTGTTCGCATCAAAAACTCAAGAACCGTTGCACTTATAGTGTTCAAATTTTGCACAAATAATTATGACACCAGTAGGAAGACACCATTAAAGTTCTGGACAATTCCGCTCAGTAGTAATTATAAAACCCTAAAAATACATTTTTTAATTTGTCCCATAAGAATAACATTAGAACCTACCTTCTTCTTCTTTTTATTTGTTTATGTTTTGCAACCAACAATTTTGTTGTCTACTTAAGATAGAGAGAACAAATTTTACTCTAAGCTCTTTCATTCATGGAGTAAACAGTTTGGCGTCTCTGAATGTATATCATTATAATTTCACAACTTTCAGAATAATAAATTGAACTTTTCAGTGTTAAAATTCACCTTTACATTACTAGGTGGCGTTCGCAGAGGCATCCACGAAATTGAGCGGAGTCATCAAGGGTTCATATTATATTGTTTTTGTCATAATGAGAAAAAAAAACAGTCGCTTTAAATGCATGCGTTGCGGCACAGAAAACGTACTACTATACCCAGAATGCCAACCGCATGGTAAAAAGCATTAAGCGGTTTGAGAGAGCTTTGCCTGTCAATCCGTAGGCAGCGCCACCAGCGTTGCCATGCAATAGCATAGCAACGCTGGTGGCGCTGCCTACGGATTGACAGGCAAAGCTCTCTCAAACCGCTTAATGCTTTTTACCATGCGGTTGGCATTCTGGGTTATAGTAGTACGTTTTCTGTGGTTGCGGGTATAAAGTAGCATTTTTACTCTTTAGGGAGTGAAAATTGTTTTTAGCCTCTTGGAGTAAAAATCAGCTGTTGTCAACTCAGTTGTAATTTCTATTGTAAAGGATTGCATGTATCGAAATATGTATCGATTTGTGCTTCGTAATCATTTTAACCTACAGTCTACAGTCTCTTCCCATAGCATTTTAGCATTGCAGATACATTAATCCATTCCCACACTCAACACCTTTACTACTTCCTTCACCACCCCCTACATCGTGGACCTGTTTCCCTCTCTTCCCATAGCATTTAAGGATTGCAGATACATTAATGTAATTGCCAAAGACAGTTCCCACATTCTGCACCGCAAGCCTTACTACTTCCTTCACCATTTCCTACGTTATAGACCTGTTTCCTTCCCTTCTCATGGCATTTAAGTATTAGATACGTTTATCTAACTGCCCAAATGGTTCCCCCCCCCCTCTGCACTGCCAGCCTTTACTACTTCCTTCACCACTTCCTATATCGTGGATCCTGTTTCCTCCCCTTCTCATAGCATTTTAGGATTGAAGATACAATAATCTAACAGCCACAGACGGTTCTCACATTATGCTCATACTTTACTACTTCCTAAGCCACTACCTACATCGTGGACCTGTTTTCATCACTCTCCATAGCATTTTAGTATTTGAGATACGTTGATCTAATTGCCACAAACATTCCCCACACTCCGCACTGCTAGCCTTTACTACTTCTTTCACCATTTTCTATGTAGTGGGAATGCTACCATCCCTTCTCATAGCATTTCAGCTTTGCGGATACATTAATCTAACTGCTACAAACGGTTTCCAGTTCCCACACTCCACACTGCTTACCTTATTTTTGTCACGGACCTCTTTCCCTCTCTTCCCATACAATTTTAAGATTGTAGATACCTTAATCGAATCGTCATAAACAGTTCCCACACTCCGGACAGCTCGCCTTGACTACTTCTTTCACCACTTCCTACGGCTCCGACCTGATTCCCTGCCTTCCCTTAGCATTATTGGATTGCAAATACCTTAATCTATTGGTCACAAACAGATCCCACACACCGAACAACTCGCCTTTACTACTTCCTTCACCACTTCCTACGTCACGGACCTGTTTCCCCCCCTTTCCATAGCATTTTAGGATTCAAATACCTTAATCTGATCGTCATAAACAGTTCCCACACTCCGGACAGCCCGCCTTTACTACTTCCTTCACCACTCACTTCCTACGTCACGGACCTGTTTCCCTCCCTTTCCATAGCATTTTAGGATTGCAGATACCTTAATATACTCGTCATAAACAGTACCCACACTCCGGACAGCTTGCCTTTACTACTTCCTTCACCACTTCCTACGTCACAGACCTGTTTCTCTCCCTTTCCATAGCATTTTAGGATTGCAGATACCTTAATCTAATTGTCATAAACAGTTCCCACACTCCGGACTGATCGCATTTACTACTTCCTTCACCCCTTCCTACATCACGGACCTGTTTCCCTCCCTTCGCTTAGCATTGTTGGATTGCAAATATTTTAATTTATTGGTCATAAACAGATCCCACAATCCGAACAACTCGCCTTTACTACTTCCTTCACCACTTCCTACGTCACGGACCTGTTTCCCTCTTTTTCCATAGCATTTTAGGATTGCAGATACATTAATGTAATTACCAAAGACAGTTCCCACACTCTGCACTGCAAGCCTCACTACTTCCTTCACCATTTCCTACATTATAGACCTGTTTCCTTCCCTTCTCATAGCATTTAAGTATTAGATACATTTATCTAACTGCACAAACGGTTCCCCCACTCTGCACTGCCAGCCTTTACTACTTCCTTCACCACTTCCTACGTCGTGGGGCCTGTTTCCTCCCCTTCTCATAGCATTTTAGGATTGAAGATACAATAATCCAACAGCCACAGATGGTTCTCACACTATGCTCATACTTTACTACTTCCTAAGCCACTTCCTACATCCTGGACCTGTTTTCATCACTCTCCATAGCATTTTAGTTTTTAGATACGTTGATCTAATTGCCACAAACATTCCCCACACTCCTCACTGCTAGCCTTTACTTCTTCTTTCACCAATGTCATGGTGGAACGTCATACATTTCTTGGCTGTTTCCAAAAAGAATTCCAGAGCTTGTCAGAATACATTACTGAACTTCGAAAGGTTGCAATGTCATGTGCGTTTACATGTTCATGTAACGAGTCGACAGAAGAAATATTTCTTGCATCACAGTTCATTTGAGGAATCAAAGAAAACTACATAGCCTACGAGAACAACTTTTAATGTGCCCGAAACTGAATTTCAGTCAAATGGTAAAAAAATCCGTAGCTCTGGAGGCATCTAAAGTAGATTCAAGAAGTATTTCCATGAAAAAGCCAGTATGAATGTTCAGATGTGTTGAATATTGCAACCCAACTCACCTAGTCTGGATTAGTGATGGACCATCATATGTTTTTACATTGTACATATGAAGTTGTTTACTAAATATAATTCTGTGTTGTGTTTGTAAGACAATAAAAAGAGTTTACAACAATTTTAATCTTTCATTAACTTTAATTTCACCAACAAAGATTATGGGCCATTTGGAATATTAAAATAATCATTTGACAGTATTCTGTGCTTAAAAATAAGTAAAATGAGTTTTGGCTATAGAATTGAACCTTTGAAACGAAATAATTATGACACTTGGAAA